TTTTGTTTTTGTTTTGGCCCTCATACTTCATACTCTACTTTTTGACTTTTAGTACAAGAAAGTAGGAACATATTAATCATGAATTAAAAGCCTGTACAAAAAGCCACTGACTGAATTGAAACATGGATTGAAATGACAGCATTAGAGAGCACACGTACTGAAGGCTTTCATTCTCAATGCACTGAAGCAATGAAATGTTCACAGCAGGCTTAGTTTCTGTCACCTTGGAGTCAATATGCAGAATAATTGTGTTTATTTTCCTAAGATATGCTTTTCTAAAATGCTCAAGTACACCAAAAGATAATTTGCAATGTATCAAAATAAAGATATAGAATAAACTTGTCAAGAAAGCAAATTTCTCTACCTCAAATCATATTTGCTTACTACTCTAGATAAACTGACTTCCCGCTGTCTTTTCAAACACCATCATTATTGCTTCAGTGCTCAAGCTGCCTAAAACGTCCTCCTGCCCCCCTCCTGGTCAAACTCTGTCCACCTTTCCAGGCCCAACTCGAACCTCCTCTTTCCAGTGAAAACTTCCACATGACCTCTCCTCTTCTGGGAGCCTCCGGCACTTCTGTGAGCCACATATCCTGACATCTGACCACACTCCATACCACACTGCCCCTTAGGAGTCTTCCCAACTAGAATGTGAACATCTTGGTGACTAGGCCACAGCCTTCTTTTCTAATCCCCATGACTCCTAGTGCCTCTGTGGGCCCATGGCAGATGGTCAAAGAAAATCATTTTTCAAAACAAAAATAGCTTTATTTTTTAAAGTGATGATAGCTAAGGTTTATTGTGTTTCAGGTACTGTTTTTGTTGCTTGCTTGTTTTGGCCGCACTGTGCGACTGGCGGGATCCTAGTTCCCTGGCCAGGGCTCCAACCTGCGCCCCCTACAGTGGAAATGTGGAGTCTTAACTGCTGGACTGCCAGGGAAGTCCCCCAAATAGCTTTATTTTTATTGTGAGTATAAAAATGCTACACAGTTATTATAAAAACTCAAACAAAAATGTGTGGAAAAAAAAGAAGTAAAATCCTAGCACTGAAAGAAAACCACTAATAACATTTTGGTAAACCTCTTTCCAAACATTTTTGTATGCATATTTTTACATGCATAAAATATATATAAATGGTGTTACACCATTCTGCTGTTCTGCCACTTGAGACAATAAATGTAGATTTTCAGAGTCTTCCTAAAATTGTATGACTTCCTTGTCCATTGCTGTTTCCTGAAGTTAATTTTATTGTAAAAACAGAAACATACTTCCAAGGAATTATTGGCCAACTTACATGACAAATAAGGTTTTGGACACTGGGACTATATATTTTTCAAGTTGTTAATTCTTTTGTCATCAGACCCATTTTGATTATAACTTGATTAAAGTCATTTATTTGTTCATATTTTAAAAGATATTAGACACCTGGTAAACATTTTCGTGGACTACCCATTAATCTTCATATGGTTTGTTACACATCTTTCATGAGGTTTCAATTAGTTAAGTATATTCTTATATTTCTCCTGCAAGCGACATAGATGGTGATAAATGCTGTCTGGTATCACTTCTGTCTCACTTATACAGCCTCTTAGCAATAAAATACCTTTAAATGATAGTGGTGATGGCAAAGCCTACTTTGTATAACTTGTTCACACATAGTCTATCAATATTGGGTTTTTGAGAAAGCATGATTTAAAGCTCCAAAGACCCTTCTTGGTCCTGTGCATCTAGAAAAAGAGCACATAGCCCACAGAGTTTCTTCTCATCAGTCTCCAGGCCAGATGAGAATTTCCCGAACTGTTTTTCAAATCAGGGCAAGGGGGAAAGAACAGGGCAGGGAATCCTTGGCTGCAACAGCCAGCTTCAAAGAATTCAGTGTGCTGGGAACCACAGCCAAGTGGGCGCGACAGCCTGCACCCTTGCAGCAAAGCCAGAGAACAAAGATGAAGGGCGAGGAAATTAAAGAGATTCTTAAAGTGACTTCCCAGGAGGACGCGCAGGCCAGCCACACCCAGTCCCTTCATCTTGGTAAATAACTCAGCAAAGCGGCAAATGGCTTTAGCTGAGTCCCTGCAGGAACCTCTCCCAGAGTGGGGGATTTCTTCCTCATTGCTGCTACTTGCAACTTCCCAGACCCACGCTTGCCTGCAGGCAAAGTGTGTGCTTTCCCCAAGTCACGGCATGTTTATCAGAAGATGAACAAACAAACAGCAAATAGCTCTTGGAGGGTTTTCCCTATTTCCTGGCAGCAGAAGGAGAGCAGCTGTTGTATGGTTAAACTGGGGATTTGGCCTTTTTAATGGAGTTTTTTTAAGTTTTTAGTAAAAATCCTACTTTCTGTCTATCTCTGATGGTTAAATTGAAATTTGACTTCTTCCAAGATGGGCTTACTGGAAAGGGACTATAAATAAGCCTGGCCCATCCAACCATCTAGCAGACACTCATTAATTTATTCTCCCAGCCTGTACCGGGCACCCGCAACCAGCAAAGGCACTGAGTGGAGCTTCAGAGATAAACCATGTTGTCTCCACCCTGAAGGAAACTAACAATGATACTTACCACATGACACAGACAACGGGCATTGATGAACCCGTTATCCTGTGCCAAGATTAATAAGGGTTTTAGTCCGTTATCTCATTTAGTTTTCACAATGTGGAAGTGGTATATATGCTCCATTTTATAGATGAGAAAACTAAGGCCTGGAAAAAGTAACGTAATCGCGGTTACACAGCTGTACCCAATTTAAAGTCTTCTCTTGAGGGTTTCACATGTAGCTTGACATTACAAATTGACCAGCTGGAGTGAGAGGTAGGAAAGACATAAAAATAGATTTAATCTAACCCGTGTGATGTCTTAGGAAAGAGATTTTATGTTTGCTAATAACTCAATGTAAATACGCTAGAACAAGTGTCGTAAGAGAGATCCCACGTGGAGAAGTGAGGGCAAGGAGGGGTTGCTTTTGTTTAGTTGCTAAGTTGTATCTGACTCTTTGCGACCCCATGGACTGTAGCCCACCAGGCTCCTCTGTCCATGGGATTCTCCGACAAGAATACTGGAGTGGGTTGCCATTTCCTTCTCCGGGGATGTCCCTGACCCAGGGATCGAACCTGCATCTCCTGCATCAGCAGGCGGATTCTTTACCACTGAGCCAGCAGGGAAGCCCGGCAAGGAGGGGAGGAGGTGGGAATCACGAGGACTTTTAGAAGATATATGACTTGAGCTGGGTTTGCTTGAAGATACACAGGAATGTGACAGACTTTCAAAACAAGCTCTGCACAGATAGAAAAGAAAAAACGAAGGTGTGCTGGGAAAAAGCATAAGGAGTGTTTGGGGGAAAGTGAATGACCGTGTGTGGTGAGTGTCAGCTGTGAGTAGGAAAGTGGTGGGTGGAAAGGTTAGATCTGGTCTGGATGTAATGTAATGGGATTCACATTTCCAGGGCTGTGCTTTAGAGAGCTGTATTTATACGAGGTCTCGAAGTAGTTCTCAAGCTTCAGTGTGTATCACGATCACCTGCAGAGCTTTGAAAATGCATGGGCCCTACTAAAAGTTCCAGAGCAACAGGAACTCTCACAAGCTACAGTAAAATGTGGAAAATGGTGCAATCATTTTGGAAACTTGGGAATACGTACTGAAGCTGAACATACACATTCCCAGCAATTCCACTCCTAAGTACACACCTAAGAGAAGTCTATGTACCAAGAGACACATAAAAGTATGTTTAGAGCCACACTGTTTGTACTAGCTTGAAACTGAAAACAACCCAGATGCCACCTACTGCAGAAGGGATAAAAAATACTGTGGTTTATATATAAAATGGAATTCTGTACAACAATAAAAAAGAACAAACTGTAGCTAAATCCAACAACAAATCAGAAGTATGATGTTGAACAAAATAAGCCAGACCCTGAAGAGTGTTCTATGTTCTATGATTCTAGCTACATAAAGTTCAAGATCAGACACATCTAGTTTATGGTGATAAATGTTAGACTAGTGGTGACCTTAGAGGAGATTCATGACGAGGGGGACCTGGGAGAGGCAGCTGGGGTGCTGGTGATGTTCTCTGTCTTTATCTAGAGGGACATCACATGAGTATGGTTGTTTTTAAGAACTTCATTAAGCTGTACATTTATTATTTTGCAATTTTCTCTAAATGCTGTACTGCAATAAAATTTCTTCTACTTAAAATATTTAAAAAAAAAAAAAAGCATAGGTCCAAAATCATAAGATTCTGATTAAATCACTCTGGGATGGAGCCTGGGCACTAGCAGTTTTTAAAAACTCCCTTAGTGAACTTGACATGCAACCCGGTTTAAAAATTGCCGATGTAGAGCAAGGAGCAAAAGAAAAAAAAAGTTAAGAAATTATTCAATACTTCGCACACTTGAGTGATTTTAAGAATCACCTGAAATGCTTGTTAAAAAATAAATTCCCAGGTCCCTCCCCTGCTGACTGTGATTCAGTAGGTTGGAGACGGGATCAAGGAATCTGTCTGTTTGACAGCCTCTCCGATGTGGTTAGTTAGGGCTCTAAATTAGGGTCAGGTGGCAGTGCTGGGAAGGAAGAGCAGGTTATGCCAAGCAAAATAAAACTGGAAAAGATTAAATTTTCAACACTACTTACACTTGCTTTTATACACTTCCAGCTTAAAACCCACCAAAACAACCAAATTTGAGTATGCTTTATTAAACTGACATCTTTAACCTAAGGTGGTTTTACTTTGACTCACAGTGTGTAAACTTTAATTTAGTCATTTACTTTTGTTTCTAACTGAATCATGAGAGTAAGAGATTTCAGAAGCCTCAGAGGTACCATTTGGTTTTGGGGTAGATCTGCTTTAGAGAATGGGTTTAATAACATCCCATGGTAAAGTCTCACTTTTTAGCCTAATTAAAAAAAAAAAAAACTTTAGTTGTATTCTCAAAGAGCTTGCAATTTCTGCTTATGTCCTTCAAAGCATGAAATATGCAGTAACACAAGTACCATACTTCCCTCAGTAATAAGAATCATGATTTTTTTATTTGAAATAAAAGATGGAATAACTTAATTTTTTCTCTTGAAGACAGGCAAAGTGGAACTTAAAGAAACTTTCCTCCATCTGTTAAGGCAATGAAAGAAGAAAATCACATATAATTGCGATACATTCTTAAACCTTAAACTCATTTGATTACATTCTGGGCTAGAAAGTTATGCACTGACCTCAGAGACTGAATGACATAAAATACATATATGTTAATTAAGCATCAGGGAGAGAGAACTTGATGCTGACGGCAAGTGCGCTCGGCGAGAGGCAGAAGACTGAGAGAGTTGAGGCTTTGATTTATACCTGTCTGATAGGGGGTGTGTGGAAGCAGTTTTTATTATTTATTCATTTATTTTTCTTTTTAAAATTTATTTCTTTTTTAAAAAATTAATTTATTTATTTTAATTGGAGGCTAATTACTTTACCATATTGTAGGGTTTTTGCCATACATTGACATGAATCAGTCATGGAAGAAGCAGTTTTTAAACCAGGAGACTAGAGCTTTTACAGAGACACTGGTAAGGTTCTATAGATGTTTAATATTAATACTTTTCATGCTAAAAATATGCCTTTATTTAAAATTTATAAGAAAAACAATATGTACACTAAATAGGTTAGTAGTAAATTTTTAGATATGGACCCTACCAACCTGAGCTCTCGGTTAACTCACCCTGGAGCTTTTCCATAAATGTATGTGTAGATGATACACTTGTAGACATGTCACTGAGGCGGAAGCTTTTCATCTGCTCTGGTCTTTTCCTTTTCTTTTCAATCCAGGACTACATTAGTATAAAGGCTATGATTACATAAAATCTTCAGTTCTACTGGATCAGAGTACAGATGTTACCACCCTCTCCTTGTTCCCATATGATGCGGTCATGGAACCAAACAAAGTAGATTTATTACTCCATAACATGGCTTGATAACTATAAAACAGAAGTCTTTAAAAAAAAACACAAAAACCAGAAGTTTTTAAATGTTAACATGCTAACAAATAAAGTGGTATAAATGTAGTCATTTTTGTATTGGGACTGGAAAAGCAATATCAGAAAAAAACTTATGGCATAGTGGATCATGGAAAACATAGGCCTTACAATGTTATCAGATGTTGTGTAGATAAGCACTAGTAGTTAACATTATGCAAGCATTTTTCAAAACTCTATTAGATAACGCACAAATTGATACTTACTATTAATTTTATTAGGATGAGGTTTTTAAATTAGACCTTTCAGAGTTACATCTGCAGATGTATCAGTAGTGATACTGAAATTTATTCTTTTGCACTAAAGTTTTCTGACTGATATAAGTTGTTGAAATAACAGTCAAATAAAATAAGAAATTACTCTTATTTCTGCCTTAAGTATATCCATCAAAGTTTATCAACCTGGAAATCTTATTAAGATTTTAAATAAACTGAATAGCACAATTTACAAGACTAATATACTTACAAACTCATTAGTGGTTGTAATGAGATAAAACATTAGTGATGTTTCAAAACAGGATTTGGCTTCAACATGCAAAATAAAATTAATCTTTCTGTCTAAAAATTGTGAGTAGAAAGATGGCTTCTGTATTAGTCTGCTCAGGCTGCTGTAACAAAGTCCCATAGAGTGGGTGACAAACGACAGAAATCTTTTTTTTCATGGCTCAGGAGACCAGAAGTCCAAGACGGAGGAGCCAGCAGGGTCAGTTCTAGTGAGGACTCAGCCCTTGGTTGTAAAAGGCCATCTTCTCACCGTTCCTTACATGGGGGTAGAGGGACGAGGCTCCCTGCTGTCTCTTCTCACAAGCATGCTGACCCTACCGGAGAAGAGTCCTACCCACATCCTGACAGCCCCATCCTCCAAACACGGTCACACTGGGGCTTAGGGCGTCAACATACCAATCTGGGGGGACAGTTCAATCCAAGCAGGCCCTGAGGTATCTGATCTTTTAAGAAATAACATTATGGGACAGCTCGTATCAGATGTTATAAGATACATTTATTTTTCTCCAAACAATACAGTTTTTAAACTAGCTGAGAAAATTGTTCATTGAGTTCTCCAAAGTGATTACTCACCAATTAGGCAAGTAAATCAGCTTTGACACAAAAATTTACTATCACTACTCTTTCTTTTTTGGTTGTGTTGCACATTATTCACAATAGCCAAAAGGTGGAAACAACCCAAGTTTCCATGACAGATGAATGAATAAACAAAATATGAACCATACACAGTGGAATACTATTTAGCCACAGGACGGAATGAAATTCTGATACTCACTACAACAAAGACAAACTGTGAAAACGTCATGCTTAGTGGGATAAGTCAGACACAAAGAGACAAATATTGTGTGATTTCACGAATATGTGGTACCTAGAATAGTCTAACACATAGAGACAGAAAGTAAAACAATGGTTCTCAGTGGCTGGAGAAGGGCGGAATGGAGAACTATTTTCTAATGGGTAAAACCTTTCAGTTTGGGAAGATGCAGACAAGGAGCTGGATGCTGGTAATAGTTTTATAACAATGTGAACATAGTTAATACCACGGAACTGTAACTTAAAATAGTTAAAATGGTAAATTTTAGGTTACTTACATTTTACCACCAAAAGATTTCTCAATTTAAAAAGTGGTTAGAATAGCAGATTTTATGTTATGCATATTTTACTATAAAAAAGAGAATATTAAAAACCCCCTAGACTTAGTTTCAAGATGAGAGGACTTCTAAGGGCCCATCTAATTATGAAATTTTCTAAGAGACATCATGATAACAAGGAGAAAAGAGAAAGAATCTAGCTGAGGAACAGGATCCTAACTCCGTGTTCTGAATTAAGAGTGTAACTTTACCTTTCAAGTGGTTATAAATGGACCAGGAAGTTCTAGCAATGATAGCAAATTCAAACGCCTAGAGAGGCCAGGCGCGGGGATGGTGGTAAGTCTGGGGCTACGTGCCTGTCTGAAGACAGCAGCTGAGCCTCCGCCCTGGCGAGCTGTCTCTCTGTTGCAGCACTGGAAGGACTTTCCATTTTTAAGTGAAACTGAATCGACACTTTTTTGTTAAATGTTGGCATTTAATTAAAAATACATATTTTTTAACACAGCAGACCAAAGAAAACATATCTGCAGGCCAAGGCACGTATAGTCAGCTGACCACTAGTTTGTGATCTCTTTCAAAGCATAAAGGCTGGACCAGAATACAAAAGAAGGGAAGCAAGTATTGCCAAACAGACCCTCACCAATGTTTAAAGTTGGCATAGAGTTCATGATAAAAATCTTTCTAATCCTTGTTTAAAAGCACCAGTGGGTATTGAATATTATTTTAATTAGGTGTCATTTAAAATAGTATAGTTTTTGGACTTCCCTGGTGGCTCAGTGGTAAAGAATCTGACTGCCAATGCAGGAGACACGGGTTCGATCCCTGGTCCAGGAAGAACCCACATGCCATGGAGCAACCGAGCCTGTGCACCTCAACTCCTGAGCTCCAGAGCCTGGGAGCAGCAACGACTGAGCCCCGGCATCGCTACTGAAGCCCGTGCACCTGGAGCCCGTGCTCTGCAACCAGAGAAAGCCACCCCAGCGAGAAGCCCCAACATCACAACGGGAGAGTAGCCCCTCCTCTCTGCAGCTAGGGAAAACCTGCGCACAGCAACGAAGATCCAGCATGGTCAAAAATAAATAAACAAAAGACATCATGATGCAGTGTAGCTTTGAATGGGTTCAGTTTCTGCTGGGGCACTTTGAACATGATGTTTTAGTGTGTTGCATATATCAGATGGTCAGTAAGTAGCAGCTACTGTTTTTTTTTTTTAATTAAAAAAATTTTTTTTGCTGCTGTTATTTTAAATCATCTCCTACACAATATTGAAAAGTTTAGTGTAAAGCAGATATTTGAAACCGACCCTACCCCGTAATAAAAGGGATGATAATGTAAACCATTCAATACTCTATCCTCTGTCTAGTGACTGGGAAATGGTGAACCTTCATATTAAATAACAAATCACTTACATATGTTAGGTGTCAGGAAGAGCCTCATAAAGGTTACAATTTAATAAGAGAAATGTACATTAAGTAAAGGATCATGCAAAAAATATTTAGTCAGAAACTATAATAAACGATGACTAAAAAATTACAGGATGATTTGAAAAGAGTAATGAAGTCATCTAATTCAGATGAGGAAGGGTCACAGAGAAGCCCCCTTTAAGGAGCTGACCTTTAAACTGAGACCTAAAAGGATAAAGAGAGGTCAGCAACCTAAGGGCATTAGGAACGGGGGCTGAGGAGGGTTGGTCGGTGACAAAGGCATTCCAGAAATGCTTATGTGACGTGTGTGACAGCCCCAAATGACCAGAATAGGAAAAAGGGAAAATTAAATAGAGGAAAAGATGAAAGTTATTGGAGGGAGAGGTGGGACAGATTCGAGGCGACATCGGTGTTCTCTCTGGAGAAAAGATTCTGGAGAAGGAAGTAAAAATGAAAAAAGAAGAGACAGTTAGGAATAGACAAGAAATAAGTAAAATGGGAGCTAGGAAACAGGAACTTGAGGTTGAAGAAATTATTTCCTGGCTGTCGCAGGCTTCTGGGGAAAATGACGAGAGCTGAAAAACTGGTGGGAGCGGGGGGAGGGAACGGGTGAGAGGAGACCTCGGAGGGAAGCGGCCACACTTCACTTTGCGTTTGTTTACAAAACTACAAAAGCAGCAAACGCTCTTTAATATTTCAGACAAGACAGCCACCCCACTCCTGCAGTAAGCACCGCTAATCCGCACAGAATGGCTCTTTAGTGGTGAGGATGAGGATTAGTGACAAGCATAATCAAGTGGAAGCTTGAGGCAATTACGCAGAGAAGTCAGACCGAAAGCTTCACCTCAGTCTGAAACGTCTGCGTGTTCACTTGAGATCACTAAACCCACCATGACATTCGAAATTTTAGGGAAAAAGTAACAGGTTTTTATCATACGGTCATCAAGACCTACTGCAACCCTCTGATTCCGGGAATGTGAACTCCTTTTATAAAAGCAGGGATTTTTTTTGTCCCCCCCTAATTTCTGATTGGGCTTCCCTTGTGGCTCAGCTGGTAAAGAATCTGCCTGCAATGCGGGAGACCTGGGTTCGACCCCTGGGTTGGGAAGATCCACTGGAGAAGGAAAGGCTACCCACTCCGGTACTGTGGCCTGGAGAATTCCATGGACTGTAGAGTCTGTGGCGTCACAAAGAGTTGGACACGACTGAGCGACTTTCACGTTCACTTTCAATCTCTGATTATCAGACCACAAACTCCACGAGAGCAAGAATTTCTGTCTAATCCCACTCACTGCTGAATTGTTTAGTCACCAGCTATGTCTTTCGCACCTCCAGGGACTGTAGTCCGCCATGCATATTTTTTTTTTAGTGAATAAACACACCTAGCCAATGAAGACAAAACCTCAGCAACTCCAGAGTAAAACCTAAGACGTGAAAGGGCAAATAAAAGGAAAGGAAAAAAGGAGGGCAGGGATAAAATTGGAAATATTTCAGCTTCTGGCATTCATTTTCAACTCTTCTCTCCCATACCCTACACTCACAATAAATCTGCAAGTCCTGTCAAACCAACTCCTTAAATAACTTTCCATCTCCACAGCCACTTCCTGTTTGATTACAATCATCTCCTATCTGGTCTCTGGCTTCAGTCTTACTATCTGCCGTCCATTCTGTTTCCCATGCTCGTGCCAGCGTCATAAGTGAAAATATCACATAAATCGATAGAGTACTACTATGTTTAGGAGAAAGCATGAACTTCGGAGGACACAAAGCCCTTTGATACTGGGGGTAACACGTGTTCAGTCAGTCTAACATTGTTAAGAATGTGGCCTGTACCAGCGCATATACATGGAATTTAGAAAGATGGTAATGATAACCCTGTATGTGAGACAGCAAGAGAGACACAGATGTACTGAACAGTCTTTTGGACTCTGTGGGAGAGGGCGAGGACGGGATGATATGGGAGAATGGCATTGAAACATGAAAATTATCACATGTGAAACAAACTGCCAGTCCAGGTTCGATGCATGAGACAGGGCGCTCGGGGCTCGTGCACTGGGATGGCCCAGAGGGAGGGGATGGGGAGGGAGGTGGGAGGGGGGTTCAGGATGGGGAACACAGGAACACCCATGGAGGATTCAAGTTAGTGTATGGCAAAACCGATACAATATTGTAAAGTAAAAAAAAAAAAAGAATGTGGCCTTGGTGCATGAAATTATGCCATCGGCAGCATCATGGACGGACCTAGAGATGACCATAGTGAGGGAAGTCAGGCAGAAAAGGGAAAAACAAATGCCATATGATAGCGCTTACAAGTGGAATCTCAAATCTGACACAAATGAACTTATTCATGAAACAGACTCACAGACACAGAAAACAAACTTAGGTTACCAAAGGGAAAGGGAGTGGGGGGAGGGATAAATGAGAAGTGTGGGACTAGCAGATATAAACAACTATACACAAAACAGATAAACAAGATCCTATTGTATAGAACAGGGAACTATATTCAACATCTTGTAACAAAGATAAAATAAACATAATGGAAAAGAGTATGTATATATGTATAACTGAATCACTCTGCTGTACATCAGAAATTAAGGCTCCATTGTAAATCAACTACAATTCAATAAAAAAAAAAATGTGGCCCTTGTGAAGACTCCAGTTTGAATATGAGCTGTGCTACTTACAAACCATATCGTCTGTGCAAGTCACTTAACTTCTCTCAGTTTCTTTAGGAGAAACTGGATAACAATCACACCAACTCAAGTTTGTCGTGTGAATGAAATAAGTGAATACATTTCTGTTCAGTGGCTGGCACAATCAGCATTCAGCATCATTTTCTGTTGCCACATAGTACTTCTTACCATTTCCCAAAGGAACCATGGTGCTTCATGTTATACTTTCAAAACTGCGAGAGTTTTCTGTTTAGAATGTATTCCTTTGCTTCATAGCCTGCTACTATTCCAAGATCCAGCCTCATTCTCTTCACTTCTTTACCGCCTTCTCCAGCTTCTGCAGGAAGGACCATTTCTCTCCTGTGCATCACCAACTCTTACACAGACTTCACTAATCACTTACGCTACACGGAAACTACTTCTAGGCTACTTTGTTTCTTCTCCTGGAACGCGAGCTCCTTGCGGGTAAGCATTGTCATTTACTTACCTGTATTTCCAGCATCTTATACACTCTCCAGTAGAGAACACCTTACACATGAAAAACACAACACTGTCTCCAGTCAGTTTTCTCTGGCTCCTTTGGCATCCCTTGATCACACACTTCTAGGTGTGTGACCTAGACCAATTATTTAAATTTCAAAAATCTCAGTTTCGTTTTCTGTGCAGAGGAAATATTGTAAGTATATCTACCTGATACATAGGATTAAAAAATGAGATAGTCTACTTAATAAATATTAACTTATTATTATCAATATTTTTACTTCTGATACTGTATTTTATATATCTAGAAATCCCATTTAGATCTTCCTAATATCTTTCATTTATCTCCTAATCATTTTCATGTTTTCCTTTACATACTTGAGTACATCTGTATGACTTAACTGTTTAAAGGTCCTAGGTAGCTAGTCCCCCATCTCTGAAATTTCTGAGTCTGTGTTTCTACTGATTTATTTTTTCTCCTGGTTATGCGTCATATCTTCCTGTTTCCTGTACTTTTCAGCTGGATGCCAGACTTTGTGAGTTCTATGTTGCAGAGTGCTGGATTTCGTTGAATGCCTTTAAGGAGTATTGAATTTTGTTTTGGTGTGCAGTTACTTGCAGATCAGCCTGATGCTTACTTAAGTGGCTGAGGACTCGATCCAATGCCCCGTGTGTTGTGAGGTTTCTCCACTCCAACGGGTAGAAGTGTGAAGTAGCCTTGTGAACATGCCAGGAATCGTCCTGCCTACTGTTTTCCGGTGGGTCTTTTTCCAACGCACACATGTGCATAGTCTGTAGCCAAAGACTCGAATACCTCTGTGCAGTTCTCTGGAGCTAAGTGAGCAACGTACTCCTCTCTAGTACTTGGCCCTGCAAATACTGGCCACCATGGCCTCCCTAAACCCCAGCCCTCGTCTCCTCAACTCAGTAAGACCCTCATGATCTCCCTGTGTGGTCACTTGGAAACTGTCTCTCAGAGACCACAGTTCCACCTTGATTGTTGGTCCAGTGTCTGAAACAGTTGTTACAGACATTTTGTCTGATTTTCTAGTTGTTTATAGCAGGAGGACACTTCCTTTAGTATCATTATTTTACTAAATAAAACATATGTATTCCTTGGTAAAAGCACAAAGCTCAAAACTAAATTCTCATAAACTGTGAAAATAAACTGTGGACAAAAGCTCTTTGAGCCAACATCCCTAAATAGAAAAAAAGATTTACTTCAGGGGAATTTCAGTCTTTGCCAGACGTGGAAATTTAGATTAATCTTTCTGTATAGAAAAAAATACTGAAGTGAGAAGTCTAATTTTAAAGACTCATTACATTTGAGTAGATCTTTTTGTTCCCAAGAGTCTAAAGTTGTCTAGATAGCAAGAGATTCGCTACAGTTTTCATGAGGTTATTTGACATCCAAACACAGGGAAATGAGCACCACTCAGTACTCAGTCATGCAGGAATGACGCTGCATCTCCGTACTTGCTAAAACCCGGGATGAAACATTTCTTGCCAGAAGGGGTCAGGCCCTTACTTTTCTACAGGTGGCTTCACTTTTAGACACGTTAGGCTGGAACTCTGCACTTCTCTTGCTACCTCCCAGAAGAGTTAGTTTCTTCTTAATGATGCTAAAGTATGTACATGATGTTCTAAGGAAGTTATCTGCAGGAGAACAATATAATAGCAGCTCCACTGAGTAGGCGTCTGGTACTTGGCATTCTAATTGAAAAAATGGGGCTTAATAAATACTTTTCTTTGGAACCATGCCTCTGAGTGTTTTTGCTCATTCTGGATAAAAACTGGGGACTGACACATTCTGGGACAGAATGATGTTCTGAAGTTTCCTGGAAGAAACTGAGAATATATTAAAACTATTTAACCTGAGGGTCACCTAGACATAAATGCTGCCTTTGGTGTTTAAGGAATCAGAGACTGTCTGATTAAGAAGCATGACAATAAATATCCAGCATAAAATCTAGGTCCTGTTGGTAGCACAGGAGAAATGGGGAGAATCTGGGGTCGCTTCTTCTCAGCAGCTGAATGAATCATTCCTTGGTGGCTCAGTGGTAAATGAATCTGCCTGCAATGCAGGAGACTTGGATTTGATCCCTGGGTCCAGAAGATCCCCTGGAGGAGGAAATGGCAACCCACTCCAGTATTCTTGCCTGGAGAATCCCATGGACAGAGGAGCCTGGTGGGCTACAGTCTCTGGGGTCCCAAAGAGTTGGACACCACTGAAGCAATTGAGCACACACACACATAAAAAAGATAAAGAAAAGGACACCTGCTTATAGTCCACTGCTCCATGGATCCATAAGTCATGAGAAGAATTAAGAATATCTGAGGACTGTTTTCCACAGTTATCTTCATGTGCTATTTCACAGACACCAACTCTAGCTATACGCACCATTCTTCAATATAGTGAGTATTCAATACATATTTGCTGACTGGTCAAGGGACAGAGAAAGGATTAGGAAAGATAGGTTCTGGAAAGATAGGAAAGATGAAATAGTACAAAATTCACCGATTCACTCATAGCTCCCAGCTTATGTGGAGACCAATGATACAGTGTTTCTGAGCTAGTTCACTTAAAATTTCATTCACATTGATTTTTGTCTACTGGTCATTTGTAAAGAAGAAGATACTATTCTCAGTACACTGGCACAAGAGTGTAATTGAGATGGATGATCTCTAGAGTTACATGTCAATAGTAGAAATAGAGTATCAGTAAATCTGGGTTCTATTTCTATCTTTGCTACTGTGCAATCCTTCTGCAAGTTATACAATTTCATACTTTATAAAATGGGCACAATAATATCTACCTTATCTATTTCTTAGGATAGTGAAATGATCTAATGAGAAACCAGGTAGAAAGAGTTTTAGCAAAAAAGTTTCAGTGGCTATATATAAAATAGCAATAACATCAATTAGATCAGGGTAGGAAATCTTGCAAATTCAATAAAAGCAGGGAGCATACCTATTCACTTACTATAACCCCAGTGCCAGGCACATGGCAAGTTTACCAGAAATACTTGTTGAATGAATGAAAAAATAGTTTTGGCCTTCCTCTCTACTTTAAGTTAGCATTCCTATAGAAACTGTCCTAAAGGCATTCAATACTTATTTGGGAAAACACATAATATTAAAGCAGGAATAAAAACAGGCCCTTGAAAACAGATGCGACCAAAGGTTTTGATATAGTCTAGATCTGAAAAATTTGGAGTAATTTAATCTATTTTAGTAGTCTAAATGTAAGAATCTAGTGTCACTTTTTAAAAAGAAGCTCTCAGTAAGGGTCTTTCACACTTCACCTCACCAAAGTAAAGTCTCAGTCAATATAAGACATTTTCAATTAGCATTTTTCTTAATATTTTCCTTGGGTTATAATCAAAAGATGCTGAACCAACAACATGCAAATTGATCTTAAGTTTCATTTGTTGTAAAATGGGAATTATAGTATCTACCAGACAGAGACGTTGTGAAGAGTAAATGAATCACTGCACATACAGCTACACTTGGATCTTAACAAGTATCGTCAGTGATGGTGGCAGTATTATTGATGGCAATGTCTCTGACACAGACAGATAGCTCCTTAAAAGTAATGTCTTCCTACAGCCTTAAAGAGCATGCACTGAAACAGTATTTGTACTGAGCAAAAAGAAAGAAGTTTGGAGGGAATAAAGGAAGGCTAGAAAAGAATTCAGGAAGACTTACCGCCATTTTTGCCTACAGTTCGGAAGCATCTCCAGAAGGCCCGTAGGAATGATGCCCTGTTGTGAGGGGTGGCTTGGATGAAGCTGAACTCCCGGAAAAGAATATGAGTTCCCTGACATACACTGTTAAAACTGCAAAGAGAAAAAGCAAGAAATCATCACTGTATGGATAGTTACAGAAGAATGGAATTAGAATAAAAAGTCAAGAATATATAGAACAACTGCCAGGAGAGAAATCTTTTCTCCAACAAAACTCTGAACTACAGATTAGACCAAGCCCGTCTATGAGGAATTCTCTTCACATAACTATATCTCTTTGGAAACTCTTGGAGTCCAATTCCTCTGAATGCCACCTCGTGTGTGTGTGTGTGTGTGTGCGCGCGCACACACACACACTAAGGAAGCTTCAAGCAGTTATTGGAACATCTCACATAGAGGGAAATCTTTGTCTTTAGCTGGATGATACTGGCACTCATATCCTCTTGGAGAATACTTCTCCCTGTACCCCATTTGAAATTATATTTTCTTAAAGACATTCTTTTTATCTTCTATCTGGAGGAGGAAAGGGCAACCCACTCCAGTATTCTTGCCTGGGAAATCCCATGGACAGAGGAGCCTGGTGGGTCACAGCCGATGGGCTGCAAAAGAGCTGGGCAAGACTGAGCGTCTAAACAGCTGCCCTGTATCAGGTGCCTTAAGGGCAGCACGGCTTATGGAAACACACTGGATTGTCTGTTCCAGCTTGGGGGTGGCACTGCATGCCTCTCCGACAACAACCTTAGAGGAAAGTCCACTTGCCAAAGATATAAAAGGTTCCAGACAGACACTGAAGGCAAACAAGGGAAACGAGGGTAGAAAGTGGCCCGTGAATGAGAGTCCGAAGCAAAGCCCCAGGGCCCAAGTGAGTCATTGTTTAAGCTGGGCTGGGGAAGGGGAAAAACACACTCCATTGCCTTTGGGTTCTTCTGCCAAAGAAATACAGGCTGGAGAGCCTGGCGTAATCTAAAAATGGAAAATCCACCAAAGAATAGGCAATTATCCAGTAATCATCACTACCAAAGACAGACTTCTGGTTCCAGAAAACTCCTAAAGTCCCTGACAAATAAATCATGAGTGGAAAATATGTTAATCTTTGTAGAGAAGCAGACATTAAACTGAAGATGGCAAGCAATAGAGGGATAGGGGTAATTCCAAATGCCACTTTTCATTTGTTTATTTAAAGGGGGAAAATATTCTGAGTCTCCGAACTGAACAGGAAAAAAAGTGTCAGGAGCCATCTAATCCATTTTCCTTTTCCCTGACCAAGTTTAGAGGGAAGTGTCTAATCTGTCTTTAACATAGAGCATATTATCACTTGGGATAAAATTAGCCTCTTTCTGTTAATATTAACAACACTGTATGAAAAAGAAAATTACATGCCCTTCTTTCCCCATGGAAAATGAGCCTAGAAATCTTACTTCTAAGATACTATGAGGAAGTATGAGGACAACATCTGGCAAAGAAGTAGAAGAGAGATTTTTTAAAAAGCAATGAAAGTGTTAACCTAATTATGCAGTTTGCAGTGCTGTTGTCTTGAGTAAAGGAAAATGAAAAATAAAGCAAATGAGCTGTTACAGGTAAATGGAGCAGGCCACATTTCCAGCAAATGAAGTCTAGCAAATGATAACATTTTAGCATAAATTTATGAAGCTACCCAGCAAAGAATTAGTCCCAAAGTGTACTGCACACCCCTCCAGGGAAACAGGCTGGTGTCTAGGTCATGGTCTAGGCTATAATGGAACTAATACTAGTGAAATTCTATTCTTAGTGTAGCTTTTAAAAAATAGCTTTTTTTAAAACTAGGGAGTAATTTATGCATTGAAGAATGTAGCTGAGCCTCATTTACAGATGAGTACAAATATACACAAGAATTTATAAAATAGGAATTTTATGCCAACAGGGCAAGTCAGATAAAATTGAATATAAAAAGATTTATAATTGTGTTTACACTACCATCTTTAGATAACTCATACCAATAAAATTCATGTTTAATTAAAAACAAAAATAAGCAGGAATGTTTGATTAGGGTGGCAGCTGATCAGTATTGAGGTCATAATCACTACCTAAGGAGTTAACAGACAGTCTTAACACAGCCAGTGAAAGCCTTTCAGATAAGATGGCTATAAAGAAAAAGCAGAAAACACAATTACTCCAAACTTCACCGTTTTTCTTCAGCCTGAAATATCTTTTTCCTACCACCTCCACCTCTTAAATTCTATCCAATCTTTTAGGACCATCTCAAATACCATGTGCATGAAGTCTTTTCCTGATTCCACCACCACAGCCAATTCCCATCATATATCACTTACAACTCTCTGATGATACTCACAATTTGCTGCCTTGTTTTAAAGTGACTAGATTTATCTCCTCTATTAGATTCTATACAGTAATCAATTAGCTTGTACTCATCTTTGTCTCCTTACATTACCTAACATGTAGTAGATACTGCTTAAGAGAGATAAGAAAAAAATAGAGGAATGATACCAGGCAGAAAGTACCAGGATGTATGTTGGTAGCCAGCCATATTAGTGATACTGAAAGTCAACATTCTACAATCTTTTTAAAAGTCCAGGACTTTGGTCGGATATTAGTGTTGTAATTCTGCAATACTAGCATTTTTTTTCTGATTGGTATTTGCCTGGCATATCTTTTTCCATGCTCTTAATTTCAATCTTTTTGCTAATTTTAAAAAGGTATTTCTCTTGTTAGTAGTAAATAGTTGGATTTTATTTTTTTACCCATTTTTACATTCTCTGTATTTTAGTGAGTTTTTAAAATAAATATTTGGTTAATCTCTGCCATCTTATTTTGTCTTTTCTGTGAACTGTTATTCTTTGACTTTCCTCACCTCTTTTACTACTTTTTAGAGTGTTAGTAAAGTTTTTAAAAAACATCGCCCAACCCATTAGTTTGGAAGCTATGACAGAATCTGTAATCTTTTAGTATTTCTCTTAAATTTAATATACATATTTAGCTAAACATTTTTAACATATACAATTAATCATCTTTATCAAAACAAGGGCCAAATTGTACACTTATTAGCACTCTTCTAATCTTTGGGTATTATTTTCTAGAATTTGAATTCTACCTTTAATTGAAAAACTTTTTTTATTATGGTAAGTTAAAAATATTAATATTTATCATTTTAAACATTGTAAAGTGTACAGTTCAGTGGCATTAAGCATATTCACAATCCTATGTAACCATCATCACTATCTATACCCCAAATTTTTTCATCATCCCTAATAAAAACTTTATATCCATTTAGAAAAATGACTTCCCGCTTCTATTCTTCTCCTAGATTCTGGTAGATTCAACGTTCTATCTCTATGACTTGGTCTATTTTAGGCGCCTCATTTAAATGAAATCATACAATACTTGTCCTTCTGTTTGTGGATATTTCACTAAGAATGTTTTCAAGGTCCATCCATGTTGCGGCAGACATCAGATTTCATTCCATTTTAAGGCTGAATAGTATTCTACTGCATGTATATACCCCATTTTGTCTGTCCATTCATTTGTCAATGGACACTCGGGTTGTTTCTACCTTTTGACTGCTGTGAAAAACGTGGCTATGAACTTGGGTGTCCAAGTATTAGTTCATGTCCCTGCTTTCAATTCTTTTGCATCTATGCCAAGAAGTACAACTGCTGCATGAAATAGTAGTTCTATGCTTAATGTTCTGAGAAACCACCAAACTGTTTTCCACAGTGTTAGCACCATTTTACACTCTGACCAGCAAGGCACAAGAGTTTCAATTTCTCCATATTCTTATCAACATCAGTGATTCTACCACCTCTTTTTTTAATCACCCTCTTAGCAGGTGTAAAGTGGTATCTCGCTGTGGTATTGATTTGCACTTCCCTAATGCCTAATGACTGGAGCAGGAAATGGCAACCCACTCCAGTGTTCTTGCCTGGAGAATCCCAGGGACGGGGGAGCCTGGTGGGCTGCCGTCTATGGGGTCGCACAGAGTCGGACACGACTGAAGCGACTTAGCAGCAGCAGCAGCAATGCCTGATGATGTTGAACATCTTTTCATGTGCTTATTAGCCATCTGTGTATCTTCTTTGGAGAAATGGTTATTTAAGCTTTTTGCCCTTTTTTTGAATTGTCTTGTTTATTTTTTACTGTTGTTGATTGTAAGAGGTCTTTACATAATCTGGATATGCATCCCTTATTAGATATGTGAGTTGCAAATATGTTTCCTCTTTCTGTAGGTTGTCTTCTCACTTTCTTGATAGTATCTTTGATGTACAAAAGTTTTTAATTTTGATGAAGCCTAATTTATCTATTTTTTCTTTTGTTCTCTGTGTTTTGGTGTCATAGCCTTGAAACCATTGCCAAATTCAATGTCGAGACGATATTGGATTGTTTTCTTCTAAGAGTTTCATGGTTTTAGCTCTTAAGTTTAGGTCCTTGGTGAATTTTGAGTTAATTAATCCAAAGCACATTTTCTACCTCCATAAATATGCACATTCTCATTAATTTTTCACTGCATTTAACTAAACTGAAATGTTCATTTAATAGTCATGAATCTTGAGAACAAATTAGTGGTTACTAGAGGGGAGATCGGAGAAGGCAATGGCACCCCACTCCAGTACTCTTGCCTGGAGAATCCCATGGACGGAGAAGCCTGGTAGGCTGCAGTTCATGGGGTCGCTAAGAGTTGGACACGACTGAGCGACTTCACTTTCACTTTTCACTTTCGTGCATTGGAGAAGGAAATGGCAACCCGCTCCAGTGTTCTTGCCTGGAGAATCCCAGGGACGGGAGAGCCTTGTGGGCTGCAGTCCATGGGGTCACACAGAGTCGGACACTGAAGCGACTCAGCAGCAGCAGCGGCAGAGGCGAGAGGGGTAAAGGGAGGGGTAAAATAAATGGAGAGGATTCAGATGTATAACTACAAGGTATAAAGTAAATAAGTTAGAAGGATGCCATGTACAGCACAGGAAATATAGTCACTATTTTATAATAACTTTGTATGAAGTATACTCTATAAAAACATTGAATTATTATGCTGTACATCTGAAATTAATATCATATTGTAGGTCACCTATACTTTAATAAAAATAAATAAAATTGGATCACAA